AGGCCCTGGTGCTGGATTGGGCCCCCTCCCTGCACGTCTGATCGATGAGAATGATAATAACCCCGGGCTACCACTTTTCCTCGGCCAGTCAGAGCCAACTGTGCTTCAAAGAAGTCCGAAAACCCTCCCCGAAGACAAAGGAGAGTCGGAGTCAGCCCTGAATGCGGAACCTAACCGATTACTGGATGGAGGCCGCGTTTCTTTGTGCTCCAGCCCACGCAGATGATGAATGCACAACTTTCTTTCCTTGTGGTAGGCAGAGCGCACTGAACTTAGCATTGATGGCGTGGATTTGGCCGAGAATTGCGACGTTCGATCCCAGGTTCATCTACCTCGAAGCTGGTCCCAAGGACTTCCTCTCGAGGTTCGCAGCTGCGCGAAAATGGAAACGCGCAATGGAGCCACGAAAGTGATACTATGTGATAAGTTATGATCTGCCGCTGGTCAATCGCGACCAAAGTCGACAACTAGTTTGTAAGACAGCCAAGACTGTGAAGCGTAGTGTTTCGCGGGTTAAGGCCACTTCCCGTGCCGCGGGGAAAAAGATGCGCGGTTGAGGGGATGGGAGAGAGAGATGCCACGATGCGAACGGTCGCGTCCGCGTTGACTCTGCACCAGGTGTGAGAAAGTGTATGTAAGTAAAGGCGAGGGTGTCGCGCACGGTGCAGGTCAACACGAGGTGAGATAAGTGTTGGTCGGAGCAGATGCGGGTGTGGCTTGGACCGGTGCTGGAATGGAGGAGCACATGCAATTCCACGAAACAGGAAGCTCGTCTAGGAGCAATTCGCGCCAGACCAGGCAGCCCAAAAAGGGGACTGAACAAATCGGCAGAATCAACAGCAATAACGATAACGCCAGAGAGGACGGGAGAAGGGGGGAAGGGGGAAGGAAGGTTATCAAAGGGTGCTGCGAACGCGGACGATTGGCAAGCTCCGGCGTGTAAGATCCGAGCCTACTGAAGTCAGCGAGACAGGGTCTATACTAGGTGACTTAGGAGTTGCTGTAGTCTCCGCACCGGTAGTCAAGCCTTGTCCAAGTATCTGCAAGTGCGCCAGTTTTCCGCCAACCATGCAGTCAATTTGAATAGTGATGATAACAATCCCAATCAGAAGTGATAACAAGCCAGGAAAATCCCCCGTCGACTAGCTCACGGATGGATGGCTAGTCAGAATGGAGAGTAGCGACCGTCTTCAAGGACATTGATAAGACAATCGGAGGCGGGTTTGAGGAGGTATATCTACGGCAGATCACTTTGAAGGTTTGCGATCGCATCATCGCTTCTCAGTAAGTATTCAGCTACACTGCATTGTCTCAATGCTGGTAGGTTTCTGTATAGCAAGGTCGAGACACCAAGCTATGTATTTTCTCCTCTGTCTCTCTCTTTCCCTCCTCCTCTTGTGCCTCTGGTCAATTGTCCAATTCTCTTGCTACTGCTACTATTACCACGTAACTTGCCTGCCTTTTCCGAAACGACAACTACCACCAGTACTACTCCGGAGGACTATTCTCCTACAGCCAGTCATCGACCGTGAGAGATTCCCTGTTTGGAGTCTCACGCCTTTCCCCTTCAGGACCAATCACAAGACAGGCGCTTCTCCTCGCTTCTGATTCGTATGAGTCCGGATGACCCAGTCGGGCAAGTATCGTCACTGCCTGGGAGCTCGTCGGGCCTGCAATGATCAAGCAACCTGGCCAGCGCTTGGCCTCGATCATCGGGAATGGTTATCATGTTCAACCGAGTGGCGATCCGTCATGGCAAGGTGTTATCATGACCTTGGGTTGCGGACGGAGCGAGGTTGTAGAAATGAGCCATGCTAGATGATGATGATACAGAATCGAGCAATTGTAGACCATCATGCTGGGTTCCTCTGATTGAGTTTATCTTTAGGCTTGTGTGACTTTCATCCCAAGCCTTATTTCGCGTGCCTTTTTTTCCTTCTTGAAGAGAATATTTTCAGGAGCTCATCGCCGAAGACTGATCGAAGGTTGGTGACTGGTCGGAGTGATAGATAGCTAGGGGCAGTAGTGCACCTAGTCTAGCTGCCAGACAACGAGCTGCAATCGGAAAAAATCCCGGTCCAGAGCGAGGGCGTCTAGTCAACAACGGTTTTCTCGTTACATTTCACAGCAGGCTGAAGAGTAAAGGGTTGAAGATGGATAAAGGATGAAGGATGAAGGATGAGTGGATGGATCGACTCCAGGAATCCCGCCGTGGCTGAATTGGGATGGCACATCATGGCACATCATGGCAGATGACCCTCTCGGGGCGGTCGGACGGGTCACTTGAGCGGGCACTAAAAAGAGGGGGCGATCAGGGACCGTGCGTGGCTCCATTTCTTACTTAGCATTCAGTAACTTAACTAGTAGTAAGTAAACACGAGAGACATACTTTTTGACATACAACTACGCGGACATATGGACATACGGACATACTCACCATCCCCACCATGACATAACTCTACATAGCTCCGATAAAGGCTCTATATTCGAAAGAGGTCATTTGGCTCGTCTTGCGACCACAAAAGGAAAGAATTACTACGAGCGATGCACTACCTGCTCGCCTTTCCCTGAAAACCATCCATGAACCAATGACGGAGGATACTCTCACAAGGTATGCAGGCTGCAGGCAACGCAGCCTAGAGGGTGAAAAAGAAACGTACCACATATCCCCCCTCACTAATCCAGAATGGCAAATGATAATCCCGATCAACTCTCTCTCTGCGAGCCAGTCAAGGGATAACTAATGATGACTCAAAGATCTCCGACTTGTCGCGGCAAACTCCACTCATGCACGACCGGACCTCCGTGCCGTCGGGCCCAAGCTTCAATCCTCATCTGCACTGAACATTCCATAAGAGCTTGTGTGAGTGGTAACAGGCAGATCGAGGGGGGAGGACTTTTGGGAAGGCGTTACAATTGCTGGTTGAAGGGAAAAGAATCCCGGAAACACAGCATATCATCAAGAGAGGTGGGTTGCTGTATCTTCCCTTTCCCCCCCGCAAACGGGGTGGTGTCAAGCTTTTCTCTCGACCCCGGAGCAACGTAGCTCATCCTTGTACAAACAAAGTGGTCTGAATCAACGTACTTCTGGCCCACTGTGCTCTGGAGAAAGCGCCAACGGGGACGCACAACTGCTCGAGCAGTTTCAGTCCCGATTGGGTGCGCCAAGCGGCCAAGATTTCACCGGCAAGGACGGCGTATGCAAGTCATCAGCAGGACAGTCTCTAAGACGTCGGCGTTGGAGCTGGACCGCCTGGGGCAACTCTCTAGACACAGTCGAGGACCTCTGCTCCCACTGGACGGACACATTTCCGAAGCATCACAGACCCTCTCGTCTTACAGCATGACCTATCATAGCTGAGGACGGAGTCGGAGCACAGCATCCAGTTTACTGCGTCTCCAGAGTGCTCAGATCCTACGGATCAGATATCGCGATGTCGTCGACATCATCAACGGCGTTCTTTGTCTCGCAGGACTCAAGCTCTGTCGTCACTCAGCCGAGCACGAGATGAGCCGTGCATAATCCAAACCATCCTAGGGTCAATCCATACATGGAGGGAGGCATCAACCTCCAGGAATGTCTCTGCGTCCGGTGACCTTCTGGTTCATTCATGTACGCCATTAATCTATGCTCCGGTTGCACATCGACTCCCCGGCTCACTGTTTAAGAATCCTGCAGTATAACGTGGATAGCCTCTGAGCATGCCCAGATAGCCGGTTCTGTTTGGCTTGTACGACATTGAATCGTTGTCAGCCATGAACGAACGGTGGCGGATGGCATGCGGTACGACGTAGTACGTCTGGACTTCTTTCCTAACGGGGATCGCCATAGACCTCAAGGATTCTTGTCAGGTCAGGGCGACAGATTGAGTTCCGTTGACGTTTTGTAGTTCGAGCATATCTGACTTAGCAGCTTCAAAGTCTAGTTCTTGGTTGACCATCTCAATACTTAGGCCTGGTTGACCACCACAACACTTGCTCAGGCTCTGGCTGTCCGATCAATATTCCAGTGATCGATGCCTCGTAGCGCTAGTAGTAATCGTGCACGTCATGAAGGTAGTAATCTATCTCCACGACTCCTGCAGCTCTTCCCCAACTGCTTTCGCATGTTGGGTGCAGAAGGATCATCAACCGGGTACTATGTGACAACAGCCCCCGAATCCTTTCCTGTGAACACTCAACAACAACAACCAAACAGTATGAACAAGTATCCATCTCCAATGCGTATGCATATGATGACACCAATTCCTACTTCTGTCAAAGCAAGCATCAGATCCAACACCATCTAGCTCATCGATCAAGCCCACCACCATAGAACCGCGGCGTCCACCTAGGGTACCTCAAACCACCACCACAAACCAAACCCGCCCACACACCCAGTCCTCTTCCCATCCTGATCGACTTTCAATCTCAAACAATCTCAAACAACCACCTCAAACCTTGGGGACTCTATAAAGTCGAAACAACCACACAACCCAACCTTGTTCCAGACTAACACCCTGCCTCCAGAGGAAAACCATCCTGAATCCAGTCCCGACCACAAAGCCAATTAACAGAAACAACCAGCAGAGCCGAGCACTCAACCCTTCCTCCCCGAGACCTCATTCTCCCTCGATCCACACCCCCCTCCAACAGAAGAACAACCACCATACCTCCCACCCAGCAAGACCACAATACCAGATCCTCCCGACCCTAAAACGCGTCTCCCCTCCGCACCAACCCAACCGCACGAACCACGAACCACCAACCCTCCTCGGCGCAGCTCTCACGAGAACACGAACCCCCTTCATCAGGTTATCCATCACGGAGCTGTCGCCGTACCTGCTCGATGAGAAGACAACGAATGGTAGTTATGTCTAGCGCATAAGACCATGAGGCGGGGCGAGAAGAATCTCGCATACTTGGATGAGAGGAAGATGCATATCGCTTATCATCGAGTTAGTGCGGCAAAGGAATGGGGACACTTGCAGTCAAATTCTAGGTAAGACCACTTCCCCAAAGTGGAGAGAGGTGATCGCGGGCTCCGGGTGGATGCGGACCTTGCCCCGTGCAGGATAGGGGTAGTTTCTTCTCTGCATACGTGTTGATAAACGAGAGAATGAACCGTCAAGCACAGAGGATGGTTGCGAGTGTGTCGGGGAAGCAGTTCTTCGATTCGGCAATAGTCCACACACACCTACTTTCCGTTGGTGAGAATCTATACGCATTCGATCCACCACCGTAGCAACGATCCAGTGGAATCCGAGACACTGACAGGCAACAAGTTCAGGTGAAGCCCTCCAAGCACAAGAGCTAAAGTAGGCGTACCAAAGACGGATGACGTGGGTGGGACTAGTCGTAGGGTCGAGATCTGCCTCGGATGCTGGACTGCCACAGCACTTGCGCAGTGGGAGCTATCAGCTCTCTCCACCGTACCCCAATGACCCGAAAGAAGATCATATAAGGGCTTGTTAAGGTCATAAATGCCAACCACCGGGTGCAACATGCATGCACAGACAGTACTGTACATGCTCCGTGCACCTTGGCCAAGACTTTTGATTGACAGATAGGGAGTGTATGATATGTATCGGGCTCTATGGATGTGATGGCTCAGGTGGGTATGTAGTGAGTTGATGAAGCTCAGGGAATGGGCGAGATGGAACGATATCTTGAATTCTTGGTGGTAGGTTGGTTGAGTAGCATTGCCCTTCCAACCCCCCCCTCCCCCCCACCACACACACACAGTCTGTAGAGCTTGATGGGGCGCGGGAGTACGTGCAAAAGGGCGGCAGGACGGCCTTATTTTAGCAAGCGATGAGGTTGTCGACCGTACAAAAGACATGGAAGAAAGATGTCTACACATATAGAGCATGCCTGGTGAGCCGCCCTAGATCACGTGATCGAAATTACCCACCGACCGGGTGAAGGCTGGTGCACAGTGGTGCGCATCCACCACCATCACACGATGCCACACAAGCTGTATAGCCGATGCGTTCTAGTTGTTAATGTAGCTTACTACGATTCCGTCTCTCGTGCAGAGTAAGGCACGCTGGAACACCGAGGGGGAAGCTTTCACAGTTGTATCACTAACATAGCTTCGTCAAATACCTAGCTGACAGTCATGCAAGGAGAGGGACGAGCTTGTCAGGATTTGTCTATTGTCAGTCCCCGCTGGGCGTACCCAAGGTGGCGGTGGCGTCCACAGGATTCAACATACGAGAGAGAATGACCCACATTGCATCCTAAGCTACCATTGACAGGCCTTTGGTGGCGCAAGAAGGCCGGTGTTCCAGAAAGGGAGATGACGGTTCCAAGATGACAATGTGAATTACCAGGTCTACTTTGGATTAACCACACATGTTTCGATCACAAAACAGACCACGGAAGACAGTCAAGAAGTCCCGGAGGCCATCATCCCCTTCCCAGCGGAAGGAGCTTCTCATCCCATGACTCCTGATGGTAGAGTTGTTTCAGCAGAACTCTGTTCCTGCAGACTATCCGGCGTTGTCCTCTTTTCATCAATTTCCAGTATAGTTTTCCATTGCAGAGGGCAATAAGATCCCAGAAAGACTTGGCATGACTTCGCCTGTCCTGTGCCTTGGCGTTTAGACAAGCCTTCATCTGAAGTGGTATCAAATCAATCCGATCAACGTATTGAGGGGCAGCAGGGTCGATGTCGGATACAAGTTGTCGGGGGGAGAGAGAGACATCATTCTAAAGGCAAGTGATATCAGTCAGTGGGAAAGCAAGAGCAGGAAAAGTCGCAGGATTTCTAAGGAGGCTTGCCTTATGAACTGAGGTTGTCTTGAAGGGAACCCATTCTCCCCGGTAAGTATGCGTAAAGAGCCCTTGCTTTTTGGCTCTTCACGTAGTCTAGCCTCATCGCGCCGGCGCAGTCTGTTGAGTAGGTCATCTAGCTTGAGCTTGCCGGGCAGCATAATGGTGAATTCAAGCTCCTGCTCGAATGTTTAGCTCGGTCAACGCCATGATGGGGTCATATTCGATACTCATACGTATCTCTCTGCATTCGCAGTCCAGTGGGCGACGGCTAAGTCACCGGAATTCAGGATCTTTCAGTCGTGATCCTGGAACTGGTTGAATGAGGCAACGCAATCTCTCATCAATCTGAGTATTTCTACGGCAGCTTGCTGAGCCAAGCCGCGCTCGCCATGAAGGTACTCAGCAATCGCGGATTCCACAAAAAACGTGAGAGCAAAGAATCATACTCAAGGACATCAACCACTGTTCCTTCATTCTCTGCTTCATTCATGGGGTGCGAAGAAGAGAAGCTAGCGAGATAGCAGCCGTTGATGCAGGAGAAGAGAATGAAGAGAAGACCAATAAGGATACGGAGATCAACAGCGGCAAACATTTTGGAAATAGAAAGTTGGAATGTAAGTAAGGTGTGAATTAAATGTCATTCAAGAGTAACGGGGGAAAAAAGACTACCTGATGGATTAGTGGATGCTAACTAACGAGCGCTGCCTGGCTTGATTATATCCTCGCGTTCTGGCATTATACTTCAGGACAACGGACAAGACCAAAGCCATCTTGTCTCACAACTTGTCAAGCCCTCATGCAAGCAGAAAGCTCGATTGTTCAAACAGAGACGTCGAAAGGCCTGGAATAAGAGCAGTATTGCAGTTTCAAAAAAAATTAAAAAAGAAAAAAAGAAAAAGGCTCTGTGACAGTACTGGTGACACGGTTTGCATCCTTGGGGAGATCAAAGGTGCTCTTTGATTAAACTTTCCAATAGTAGAGCTGTGAGAGAAATGCACGAGAGGGCTCAGGTGACGAAGTATTCTCGTACCCAGAATTCTGTGCTGCTCGTTCTACTACCATTTGACTGAATTCCCGACAGCAAGGACACATTCTGACCTATAAAAAAAGGCTACATACACCATGCGTTGGTATATGCCTGGACTTCATAGGCAGTGCTTTGAGACTAAGACCTAGCAAGATCTTTTGGTAGAAACATGAGATGATGTGTCTAGGCGCTTCGTTTGACTTCTTGTGGGGTTGGGGCGTGCATATGTGACCGACACTAAGAACCCTGAGTAATCCATTGGATCAATGTCCTTCTCATTTACGACCTAGCTCACTGAGAAGCCTAGGCTTGCTTGAACCGCATAAAGATATTCCACCAAACGGGGATGGCTCGCCCCAACCAAGCAACCCTGGGTCTATTATATCGACTGCCCACTTTCGAACGCGCTACTTTGCGTTGTGGATGATCATTCCACGTCATCAGTGGCGTAAAACTCTCAAAGTCTCTTCATGTTGTGATTCTCTCAGAAACATTGAGAAGGTCAGCTTCATCTTTGGCGAGCAAACAGAGGACTGCCTGTCTCACTTTGGCGGAAGATTGAGATGAGCGACTGCAGAGTCTCTCCCCGCCACTTCAGCAGTCTGATTTCTTTCACCCTCTGTGACAAATATCATCCATATTATACTGTATCAAGTCTTACTGTCTTCTTGGACCCTGAGAAGCCGCAAGTCCTGGGAAGGATCGACCGAAAAGATGGCTGGGTGGACTTGATGCGATAGAATCTTCGATGATAGCAGGTAGGCGGACAAGAGCGGTCTCATCAGGATCCGGATCATTTGCAAAATCGATTGACTTGGGTGCTGACGTCTCGCTGACCCCAAGATTTGGCATGTTAGGTAGATAGGTAGATCATTGTACAACCTCAACTATGGAAAATCGGCACAAAGAGTGTTTCAAGCTTGAAGCCAGAGCCGGATGACGAAGCTTCGGGTTTGTGCGAGGGGGGTATCTGCAAACTTCCCAACATCAAATAATCCTGCCCATGTAGCTTGTTGGTACCAGGGGACAACGCAGCGCGCTGCTGCCATGTTTCGGGAAGACGTTGGAAGGGGAAAGCTCAAAGAACCTGGTCGAAAAGAACAATCCTAATTGGACTCCGTGGCATTTCGGCACACGCAAAGGGTGATCAGCATTACAATTTCATGTTAGGCTAACCAGGCAAGCTGATGAATTTGCTTTTTCTGAGCCACGGATAAAGAAACCGCCCGTTTGGCAGGATGGCCAGGTATTCAACGATTTTGAGAAGCCGGACACGGAATGGTCTAATGACGACTCGTAGAACTGAAAATGAGCAGAGCGTGTGCATGAAATCCTCCAATCATCCCGCCCCACACCCCGATGGTGAGGAATGTCTGTTGAAGCTCTGTTGGAAAGCAACGCATCGACATAGAGGAACGGATCGCGTTCCTTCCCCAGTCGATGGATTTGTTTTTTCGATGGATAGTGGTCTCAACGATGATGAATCCTTGGATGCCGAGCCCTGACCGATTTGTTCAAGTATCGAATGGTTGCGGGATACCTGAGTATTTCCTGTCTAGTACAAGGAAGCGCCTGTCTCGACTTGACCATGGTCACACAAGGCCCGTTTGAATGGCCGCTTTCCCTCATCGCATGCTGTACTGTGCGCAGTTGCCGCTGTTCATATTCTCCAAGGCCCACCGTAAGCTCTGTCCTTGGCGTAGTAGCAGAAGAGAAGGGTGGTTCTTGGTGCGAGTGATGTGTCGAAGGTGACGGACGGCATGACGGCATGAGAGGAACTGAGCTGGAGTAAGGAAGGAAGGAAGGTGACCTGACCTGTCACATGACCCGCCTGCTGCTATTGCCCGCGAAAACTGAGCGAGTGGCGCGTCTACTTACTTGGCTGCCTCTAATAGCACCAAGAAAGTAATCGACCTGCTCACGTATAGGTTGATGATGATATCAACAACTATATGTAACATAGGTGAGTATCTCGATACTGGGGACTTACAATATAACTAAGGACTTTAGTAGCTTTAAATGCATTTGACGATAATGAGATAATGAGATAATGAGCTTACGCGAGCTCGCATCTTTGACGTAGGCGAGGGAGCCCCGTCCTTGAGTATCCGCCCCTGAAGGCCAGACAGAGCATGGCCCCGACTTATTCCAGATCAGCGGAGTTGTATTCAATGCCAAGCCTCTCTAGTGATGAGACAAACCGTTTACGGGCATGTTGGTGTTCTCTGTCCGGCGGTGGAAGCTCCCCGCGTCTCTTCATGTCGATGCATAGCTGGTACAAGTACTGGTGGTAGTCGCTATCATACGGCTTCATACCGGAACGGTCGTTCGGATAAGGCTTGTCATACTCCGGCGAAACCTCCTGCCACAGGGCCGTCAATGTGCGCCAAGGCTCTGACAGCTCCGTGATATCCACATTCATTCGGTACCGCACCAGCAGCATCATGTATCTATGCAACCAGGGCGGGCGGTCTCAGCGCACGCCCATGGTCTCACCATCAGGGAGCGCTGCCCGTGGCAAGTTGCTAAGAATCCGCAACTGGTGGGCCTCCACCCAGCGGGCCAAGTGAGGGATCTCCACGGGATGAAAGGCCTCGTGATCCGACTGACGCCCCCGGGGCAAGTCACCACTGTCGTGGGAAAACAGCCGAATGCGGTCGTCCGATGTGAGCCGATAGTATGGATCATCGCGAGGGGGAGCGCCAATGGGCGGGATAGGAAATGTCGGCACGAGCCGCGACATGCGGTAGAGATGAATAGGACGTGTCGGTGTATAACCTATCGCTCGAGGGTTCTGGCTAGACAAGTCAAACTTCAAGTGGAAGTGATAGTCCGGTAGATCGAAATCGCCTTTCCAGGGGCCTGGATCGAGCTCTTCCAAAGGGTCGGGATCGGGATCGTCGAAATTGTCCAACAGCCCGAGCTTGTCGAGTCTTGCGTATTCGCTTCGATGTGGACACTGCAAAAACCCCGCCTGCGTGAAGGCTTTTATTGCCTCGATGATGTGCTCATCGGGGACCACCCAGTCACGTTCCGTAGTCTCGTGCAACGGTGCCCCATAGATAGATAGCGCATCGTCTCCACACATGAAGTTAGGGATCTTGCTTAGATCGAGGATGCGAGCCACACAATTTGATCACCAAGATCACGGCGAGGTTCTCGCTCCGCTTCGGAAACCTCGGTGGGAATACTCTCAGCCATGTTTCAAGGAGTTACTTACGTTCGCCAATGTTTTCGAGACAGATATACCACTCACGAAAGGTTGAATCTCATCGACTTGCTAGAAACATCAGGGTGTCTGGGGAGACAAGACGGGGTTTATATAGACTTCCTCTGCCGCTTGGACCAACTCGCTCGAGAGCTCTCCAGAGACTGGGATTCCAGCAGAAGAGCATGTCCCCTTTTGTCTTGGATTCTGCTCCAGCTAGATAAGATGGACCCCGCTTCATACATGGTTCAAGTGCGGGTGGTGCTTGAACTGACAATGTGGCTGTACATTCAGTCCATTGTACGAGACTTTACCATCTCCCTTTCAGACCTGGCAACCTGGAGAAAAGCAGCCATAAATGCATCATGTCCCTATTGTACCTTGTCATGAGTTTTTGGCCTGCCTCTATACTCACAGACCTTCTTTATTGTCTTGTCTGAGTTGGGATTCGAGATCGACACTCTGCAATAACATACACATGCTTTAGCCTTTGATGTCAAAAGAGTGATAAAGCGATCTTCCAAGATCAAAGGACAGTCCATGGAAATATCGCTAACTACTGCTGGAGCAGTGAAGTAAACAATGGATTCAATCACGGTTGAGCCAGTCACCCACGGTTCTTTGCCTTGTACCCATTCAATATGTTGACGGGATCCTCCATCCATCTGTGATAATTTATCCAGTAATAATAATCCCTGCCATCAATGATAATAGAATGCACGAAGGCGTTATGCTATCTCAATTGAGCAATCCTGTAAGCCCTTAATCAAGCAGGCGTCTCCACAAAACAGTAGCTCTCTAATTACCTCCTTAGACCAATACCTGATTGGTGACTTGTATAACTCAAGGTAAGTACCTAACCACTGGGTGAATGCGTTCCTCCGACACATACTAATCATAGAGCATATCTCTTATTTGCATACTCGCCACCAGTAGCTTGCCTCAGAAACAGACAATTACCGAAGTGGAAGTTTACCCGAAGGTCATTCATCTAGCATACGGTTCGGCACCTATGCTCCCTATAACAAATCGACTTTTTTTTTCGGTTGAAACGCCCTCCCTCTATGATGACAATGATGATGGCGGCAGAAAAACGGACTAATCGGCTGCACGCACGTAGTTGGGCCGACGTGCGCTCAGCTATAACTTAGTATGCATAGTACAGTGCCAGTACACCGCCAAGTCTTCTCAGCCCGGTAAGTCAGGTGGCCCGAACAGCGGTAAGAATAGTCGTATAGTGAATGCATGTACTCCGTATACTGCTATCTTTTTTTCTTTCTCTCTTCTCCCCCCACTCCCCCCACACACACACCTTTTCTCGCTCCCAACGCACATATGACTTCGGAAAGCAAGGACCCAGAAATCGAGACAAATGATTCCTTCCACGAGCTAAACTCCACAGTAACAACCAACATGTCGTGCCAAGTAGAAGGAACCGCCCTGATCACCGGAGCTGGCTCGGGTAAGAGAAAAAAGCTTACTGACTACCTGCTCCGATTCCTGGAAGCGGACTGGCTTTCAAGACTGACTCTACAGGCAGGTATCGGAGAGCAGACAGCCCTGCACCTCGCTACGAACGGCATTTCAGCACTGACCTTGGTGGACATCGATCCGTCGGGCCTGGACCACGTGCACCAGGCCTTGCAAGCAAGCCACCCGACTGTGCAGGTGCTTGTCGTGCGGGCGGATGTAACCGATGAAGCAGCCGTGGAAGCCGCCTTCCAAGAGACCGTGGCTGCGTTCCAGAGAGTGGACATTGTCATCAACGCGGCTGGCGTTGGCCAGCCCTTCCAGTCAACGCCTGACCTGAGCAAGGAGGACTGGGAGAAAGTCATTCGAGTGAACTTGACCGGGGTATGGCTATGCCAAAGGGCTTCTATTCGACAGATGCTTGCGCAAGAGTATAGTTTCTTCTCCGTCTGCCCCAGGTTCCCAGTCACCGCCCCTAAGGGCTTTGCTTGATAGCTGTAAGGTCTGACTTGTGCGATGGTAGACCCCGTAGTGCCCGACAAGGCCGAGGAGTCATCGTCAATGTCGCATCGGCCTTGGGACTTACGACACCGTCGACTTTGCTCCCTACTACAGCTTATGTATCTTCCAAACATGGTAGGGATCCCTGTAACCCATGAGATATGCATGGAAAGTCTTTCTGACGATATCATGTAGCGGTTATGGGATTGACAAAATCGGTCAGTATGCTCCTTCAGTTATGAAGCACCACCCACACTGATCACTAGCACATTGCAGGATGCCAAGATCTACGCCGCAGAGGGAATTCGTATAAATGCAGTGTGCCCAGGGTGTGTATATTGGTCTAGGACTTTGTCTTTCTTCGATTTCCCTCCGATACTGATCCTGATCACAGCTGGTGTCGGACTCCCTTGATCCAGTCAGAGCTGGACTCCGGTGAGCTGTCTGCAGAGATCCTCAGCGCCCCTGTGCAGAGAGTAGCGGAGGTTGAAGAGATCGCGAGCGCGATCCTATTTCTGGCGTCGTCAATGAGCAGTTTTGTCTATGGGACCGGCCTCATGGTTGACGGGGGGTACAGCTTGTGACCAGTCGGGGTGTAGCCGAGAGCAGCGGCTTGGAGGTGGAGGAATATTCGGCTGGGACTTGTGGATGGTAGTTTCGGTTAGCATTTGATGTTATCAAGGTGTACAAGGAGCCTTCTCCTGGAAATTGGGCTATTTTCACTTATCCTAAACATGTAAACGTCCAAGTGAAGCACTCCCAGTTCTACTCCAGCAGCCATCCACATCTCTCATTCAAATATCTTCCCATGTATGCCCACCAAGATCCTCAATTTTCCCAGAGCTCACCCCCACTATTCCAACATCTCCATCTCCATGATACCTCATTGTAGGTATAACTCGACTGGGGAAGAGCATCTCGCATGAGGGCAACTTGGTGGAATTTCTCCCCATCCGCGAGTAGCGCCAACCAACGAAACTATATCGCGGCCCGACCCCCGCCCGCCCCGCTTTCCCCCAAACCACCTCATTTTTCAAGTTCTCATACAAACGTCTCCACCAATCACCATCTCTTCCCACTTCAATAAGCATGAGCTAACATGCCAAGCATGAACTTCAGATCCCTCGGGGTCCAAAAAGTCGGTACGTATCAGCTGACTTTTCTGCTAGGTACTAGTCCAAGCATACATGCAAGCCAACATAGGCAACGACCTCTAGAGCCTCTGTTCCAGCAGTTCAGAGCCAGTGTCCTTTCCCTTGAGGACTGTCTCATCCAGCAATCAATAAAGTGTAATTGTCTCGCTTCATCTTAGCCTGGGGAAAGACACCAAATCTCCCGAGTTATCAAGAGCGAGAGAATGAACGGAAAGGGTGATGCGAGGCTGGGTTCGAGTCTCATCGATTCAACTGAATTATGGGCAAGCGGCGGGCGATATACGTACTCATGCCAGTACATAACGCGCACGAAATCTGTCGCTCGCGCCCTCCCCATCTCTCTATACGCAACAACCTCATGTTCTCGAACTTTACCCTCTTCTCGCCCCACTACATCATACTCCGGTGACAACTTGCTCCAGGAAATGTATCAACTCGAAACTAGCTCCCTCAGCGCTTAGTTGTGTCGCGCTGCAGGCAGATCATAGGTTTCAGCGCGGCATCTAATAGAGGAGCAACCATTTATCCAAAGGTAATCCATCTGCGCAAGAACAGTTTACCCATTGGAATGATTCTACTAACATCTAATGATATCCTTTTGGTGGAATCTTACACCTACATATATGGTCTTCATAAATCTGGTTATGATTACTCCCCCTCCCCCTCCCCCTCCCCCTCCCCCCCCAGCTCTCTTTCCATATGCTCATATGCCTGTACAGCAAGCAACAATACTCAAGACGCAATGAACAAGGTCGACCCTCTCAGAGCTGCATATTAGACATATCCCGGTCGCCATAGTATCTATACCATGTGCAGTACCCGCAATCGAGATCCCCTCTCAGCACCAATAGCACAAGATCCAAGACAACTCACGGAGAGTCCATACACCATACCATACCCAACCCCACTGCAGCAGGAACCCTACTACCAGTAACCACTCAGACTACCATCTCATTCGCCCATCCACCGCCAAGAATCATAGCAGCAACTTCAAGAGTCCAAGCCACTGCATCAGAACCACACCACACCACGCCCGCATCTCTCCAATCAACCGCCACAAAGACACAGTCTTGGACTACCACACAGATCGACAATGATAAGCGGGGTCTAGAAAGGCCCCCGCCCTTAGACAGGGCAGGCGGGACAACTTCTTACCGCGAACTCAGCAAGATTGGCAATGTTGGTGCCACACATGCATGTTGATTCGAGGATTTTCCGTCGCGCCTCCAGGTTTCTTCCGGAGCGGCGCGGGCTAGAACAAGTTTGACAAGACGAAGGTTGTGACTTTTTGTGTCGATCGATTCTAGAGCAGTTGATCTTGTTTCGAGTAAAGCAGGTTTCTTATCGGGGAGAGGGGGAGGGGGAGGTCGACCGCCTTCGGGTAGTTTGACTCCTTTCCCGGATAAAGGCGTTGTTCTGAGATGATAACTTCAAGTTTTGGAGTTGAGGCCGTGATCCGGGATGACTGGATGACTGGACAACTGGACAGAGGCAACAGCGGCAGCAGCAGCAGCAGCAGCAGCAGGAGTCCGGCATGGCCCGCCCGTGGTCTCAGCCCCCCCTCCTCCCCTGTCCGCGATGCCTTGTGATGATGCCCTGTGATTGGGTGGCCGATGGACCATACGGAAGATCTGGAGGGGTCCGGCTTGACATTCATCTATGCAAAGTATGTACAGTACGTTCGGTAGACGGTAGAGTTGGGCGCCCACGACCACGACCGCGACCACGAAGACCAAGCTGAGAGCTGCGGGGACCGTGAGGTCGAATCGAATCGAATCGGGGGCACTCAATCGACACAAATCAGGGTTCTTGATCGAGTGCAGTGGTTGTACGGTACGCCAGACAGTACACTACTAAACTCCAAGAAAGTATATCTGCAGCCACGCATGGATGGGATGGTGTGAGCGGCTTATTGGGGGGAACGCTGCAGTACCGTACGGCCGCGAGACGGATGATGTGCTTTAAATACCCCCGTGGCTTTTTCGGTCCCAGTCAAGTGCAGTGCTATCGCTGAAAGATGATGTGGATAGCGGTTGTGGCGTGTTCCCGAATGAGTCGATAGGAGTGAACAACTACGTAGCCTCGTTCTATTGTTGCTGTGCTGTGATAAAGGCATTCTCGTCGGAGGACTCCGGACACAGTTGGCAGATATATCGGGTCTAATCGGGGGTTCTGTCTGATACAGTGCTGGGAGCACTTGCTGCCTGTCACTAAGAAGGGACCCGTAAATCCAGCGCAGTTGTTACACCAGTCAGCGCCCACGAGCTGATCCAGGGCGACTCCCAGTGGTGGGAAAAATGCCACGGCCACTGCCACGGGAAGGTATGGAAGGAATGAAGCTGAGGGAAGGGCATTAGTCTAGCCGGTGTCACTCAGTAACACCCTAGTTACGTGGTCCATTCGAACTCGATCCAGCCTAGGCCAGGCCAGACCGGGTCAATGACAATTACAGGATTCTTAGTTTGATACCGGGCATTACGGGAGGGCCATTGTGGTCTATCTCACTCACGATGGAGACTAATTTCTCCGTGACTTGCGACTAGATACACACGCCGACACGGCCAACAGCCAAAGAACCAAAGAAATCGATCAATCGCCATGCTCGGTTTCCAAGGCAAATGGCGTGAACAAACACAAACCGGATGTGTCTGTCCATGACAGAAACAGATAACATGGTATGCCGTCATCACTGCGCTTGATGTCCATCATCACCATGAGATCTGACATTCAACATCGACATCGCAAAAAGTCACCCCATACTCTGCTGTCGCACATCCCTTCCTGTCTTTCTTGTCTCTCTCTCTCCGGATCCATGATCGCGTTCCCCAGAACCCACTTCAACCGAAAGGAATGCTTCCAGTCCAATCGCTCTGGAAACGGACGGAACCATTGGAGAGTGAAACCTCACCCAAAAGTACAAAAGTCGATCCACGAAAAACCTTCTGATTAACCTTAAGGTTCGCCTCCCGAATCGTTGTCATGTTGTCAATCATGAACAATGAATGAGATCATGTTTTCGTAACCCCGGGGGGGCAGGGGGGCTGAATAACACTCGGAAAATGTTTACTGCGCCGACCGTAGAAGAACAAGAACCTTTTTTGACATCATGCTTGTTGTGGTGTGATGAATCGGGTTAGGTGACTTTTTTTGCTCATTATTCCTTGGCGGGGGATTTGGGAAAAAGGAAAAAGAAGATTAGCCACGCGCCACTGATCGGCTCACATGGAGCAGAAAACCGATCCCGAGTTGTTCATCATTGACTCGGGCGATATTGTTGTTGCTAAGCAGATTTAGTAATCTGATGGAAAGGGGGAATAAGGGAATAGGAAAGTGCGGCGAAAGGGAAAGAAAAAAAAGGATAAAAAAAAAAAAATTCAACGATGCGCGTACCTGACTACGAGTCGAGGGGCACTCCGAAACTAGTTCCCAACCCCGCCAGGTTTATTAGGAGGAAAAAGCGCCGAAGGAACAGCACAGAGCAAGTGTTAAGGTTCTAGGTCGTTATAGAATCACCTGGACACTGGACACTGGACACTGGATTTTTGCTCTCCTTTCCCCCCCAATTCCACATGCAACACCGGCGAGCGTTTCCCCTGCAACCCTAAGCGCACAGGGCGGGCAGGGTTGCTCTAGGGCCGATCTGGACTAGTGTTACTGTCTTTAGCAAGGGGCACTAGGCTTCTTTCAGATCACGACCCCGCAGATTTGGGCCAATCACGCGGACGGCCACGCATATCCCTTGCTGCTTGTTCAGGCATTCTGGAGTTCTGGAGCTGCACATGGGACAGGGTCAATGGCCGTTGAAAAACCGACCTGCTTACCCCTCATTTTTGCGGTTCTGCTATCGCGATAGAAGATAAAGGCCTTTTTCTAAATAGAAGAAAGGGGTCGAGAGAAGTTCAAGTTGGCACAATTGGAAAAACTCAGCGGAAGCCCACTCCCGGAAACGCGCGCGCCCACCGTGGACGGACAGCCAACTCACTTTCTTACTAAGGCAAAGAACCTCGCTCCAGTTCCCAAGCCTGACCAGACTCGCTCGCCGGTGTCGAACATTCCATGGATTGCCGTCGGACCCGGACCCACTGTGAAGGTCAGCTGCCCGACCAGTTTTGTAAGGTGGAGTCAAGTCGAGGCCCTTTTTGACTCTTCTTTTTTTTTTCTCTGCTACTTTCCCCGGTAACAAGGACTGGAGAGCAGTAAAGATCATCCGAATGCTGACTGTACATCAGTCGTACTGTGCATACCTTTTTCCGTGTGGGAAGACGTGCGCGTTCCCTATTTCGCCTCCTCCTCCCAACTGGGTGTTACTCATACTCTTTGCCGTCCAGGTTTAATCCTTGTCGCTCACCACAACCTTCAATCATCACCCGATGGAGGGACTCGATAACATGATGGTGATTGTAGTCGATGTAGGCAGGGATTCAGGGAACCAAAACAAACCCTTTCGTACAGAAAACGTGGTGGCTTGATACATACAATAGTGTGGTGCACAGGTAAATAGGCGCGTGGTGTAACGAGTCTAGACCCGGGGATCTTCCGCTTGCAGAATCTGCCAGATCAGATGGTCACGACTCACCAGTCCGGATTTCTCTTTTCGGAGTTCCGTCACCAATACTGTGGTAATTTTCCCACTGTGCAGTGCAAGTGCTGGGCGCGGTTCCTCCCTCCCTCTCCCCCCTCCCCTCCAGCTCCTCAGAACCCTCTGCCGACTCCCCTCCGCCATATTTCTTCTCTCTACCTCCCCCCCTCTCCTCATTCTGGCTCTCCCTCTCTTTTTTTCTTCTCTCCAGATTTCACTCCAGATCAAAACAAAGAAGCCAATCGTCGCGCCTTCAAGCCACTCTCCTCCTAGGCATTGTATCCACATCTACTGCACTGCACTCGCACGCGCGACTAGCACCTAATCACATCCAAGTAATTGAGTCACATCTTGACACTCCCACCTAGGGAGTATCCATTCAAAGTGATCTTGAATCATCCTCATCATCATACCTATTATACCAACCGTACATCAGCACAATGGCGGTTACCACCATCGATATCATCCCTAAGACCTCTTCCTCTCCGCTGTCCTCCAACAACCCCTCCATGAATAAGCGCTGGCCTCCTCTTGCCGACAAAACCTCCCTCCCCTACAAGCTCACCACCCTGTCGCGTCAGAAATTGGCCCGCGAGGCCACTGCTCCCGACCCGGACATCCGTCGCTGCCTCGGCCACTTCCGCCTGCACTGCCGGTCCATGGAATGGGCGCAGAAGGATATGTCGACGCGCATCAACTCGTTCGAGATGGAGGACGACGAGTCCGAGGATGAGGAGGACCGGGACGACGAGAACAAGAAGCTTCCCGACGACCGCAAGGACGAAGACCAGACCACGATCAAGCCGGTCTCCACTGAGGCCGCCGACAAGGCTACCTCCGAACTGGAGACCACCACAGTCCATGTGAGCTTCCACGTCTCGGCGCCCCCGGCTGCCGATAAGGAGAAGGAGAAGGAAGGCCTTCTCGAGAAAGGCCGCAACTGCTTGGAGAAGACAGTGCAAAGGAAACACTTCTGGCCTTCGCCGGGTCAGTGTCTGCCTGTTCGGATTGCAGGTTGATCTTTTTCGACGCTATCAACCACTTGACTCATCTCTCAACTCACCGACATCCTGTCTTCAGCACAACTCACCTCTTCTCTTACCACTCTTATCTTGAATCCGACCAAACAAACCTTCGAAAACGCTCCAACCCACCACCTCTATAATCTTTAATTACGACGCCACGAAGCCACGATTTTCTTTTTTTCTTTTTTTTTGTTTCAACCTGTTACCACCACCATCTATTCATCTATACATATAACCAGCGGAGTTCGAATTTCGATCATCATTTCTCATTCTTGAACCATGGACGGGTTCCATTACTAGCTAGGCGTTGGTGTGCAGAGCTATTTACATGATCAACGGTGTTAATTGCAAGAAGGGATCGGAGCACAGCGAACTGGGATGCGGCCAGACAGCACAGAGCATTGGATATGGATGGGGCATGTATTTTTCTTTTCCGTCTAAAAAGTCAAAACCTCTAGATTAAAACATCACAAACTGAATAAGAAATGAAAAACAAGTCAAACAAACTAGTCTTTTGCCTATTCTTTCCTTTCCTATTGAGTTTTTCCTCATGGTTGTTTGATTACTCTCCATTTCTGCTCAAATGACTCAACAAAACCCCAGACATCCCCAGAAACCCCGGTCAGCTCATGTGACCCACGGAGCCAGTGCATAACCGAGACCAGTCTAGCGCATAAAAGGACGTTAATGCACCCGATCAATCAGAACCACCCGAACCACCCACCCACTTCCTACACCCAATTCAAATTCACTGAGTAGCAAAGAAATATGAGTATGAGTTAGTCGATCAAGCCCCCAACCTCACGTACCTACCTACCCCCCTCAATCCAAATCCAATCCCAAAGAAGGAAAAAAAAAAGAAAAAAAAAAAAACAAAAAGTCAACCCATACGTCTCATAAACTTAACTCCACACTCCACCCTCCCGCCGGCACCTCTCCCAGCGAACCC